GAGCCCGCCCGCCCCCTCGACCTTGACTCCCTCCCGGGGCACCCGGTGCTGGTCAGGGCCTGCAGGGCGGCAGGCAGCCCAGGTTCTAAGTTGCTTGCAAACAAGGACAGGGCCTTGGAGTGGGGGCTCCCTGGGTCCATGTTCTCCCTTCGGGGCCGGTTCTGAAGAGGCAGCCCTGCTTCCCTGGTTTCCTCCTGGAACAGCCTGGGCCCTCCCGTGTCCGAGATCAGGTGCCAGATGGGGGCTAATCCTTTTAGCTTTGACCCCCAGAGGCCTCAGGCGGAGCTCCGGGCTTCACTTCCTAGCACGTGACCTTGGGCCGTGACCTTCCTACCCGTGGTGACTTAGGCTGGAAACGGGTCTTGTCTGCTCTCCGGGGCCGGGGAAGCAGGTTAGTTTCCCCCGTGCTCTCCCCTGGCCCTCAGCCCACCCTCCCCTTTCACGGGTGACGCTGCAGGTCCCACAGCACCTCCCAGCTCAGCCTCAGCATCTGCCTTGGCAGAGGCAGTGGGAGCCTGAGAATAGGCCCCAGGGACAGCTGGCTGCCTGGACCCTGGCTGCATTGGGACAAAGCCCCGCCCTAGGACAGGCCCCGCACCCGCGTCTCCTCCAGCAGCACCCGGTCTGGGAGGACGTCCCCTCTCCCTTTACCAGCCTGGCTTCCTGGGGCCCACCCTGGAACCCGCCTCATCCTGAGAACTCCGGGACTGCCAGCCCTCCCTGGGCCGGCCCCTGCCGCCTCCCGGGTACTCACGGGGGCAGAAGTGGGTGTTTTGGCCGGCTTGGCGGAGATGTGCGCCTTGGGGACCACGCAGGCCCTCAGGGGGGCTTGCAGCAGCCTGATGGCGGGGCCCAACCTCATGTTGCTGGGCCGAGCTGAGCTCCGAGTCCTGTGCGTCCTGTCCCTCGCTCTGCCCTCTGCTCGCTGGGCCGGGCTTGGGCTTTTTATAGCTCAAGGGGAAGCCGCAGCTGCCCCTCCTGTCCCCGGGCTTGGCAGGAAGGTCGCCTGGAGCCAGCCTCAGGCCGCAGCCTCGGGCATGTCCCCCTGCAGGGGCTCTCAGGGTCCCAGCTCCTTGCAGGGCAGGCCTGGCCCTCCCAGCAAGGGCTCCCACTCCTCAGCGGAGCCTGTGGGCGCTGCAGGGAGAGCAGCACGGTTTAAGGTGACTCGGCTGGCGGCCGTGATACCCGGGAGCTCTGGCTTTGGCATTTCTGGCCGAGCTGCCAGGTGTCCCCAGAGCTCCGCTGCCCCCTGGGCACAGCACGTGCGTGGCAAGGAGCTGCCCGGTTGCTGGCCTGGGCGACCCCTGCCTCCAGCCCAGGTGCAGGTTGGGCACCTGGGGCGGCTGCTGGCTCAGGCACCCAAGCCCCCAGCAGGGCGGGCGCTGGCTTCCCCTCCACTCTTCGCGGGAACAGTTATCCGGAAGCTTGTTTCCTGCTCCCGGGAGACGCACCTCTGCAAACATCGCCCGCCCAGCCTGGTCCAAGGGGAGGGCAGGGGGCCTGCCTGTCCCCACATCCTCCTGCCAGACGCCAAGGCCATGTCCCAGCGTCGTCGGCACCCAACCCATGGGTTGTGGGCTTGGGTCCTGGCTGTCCTCCCGCCTCGTCCAGGCCCCGTGTGACCTCTAGCAGCCCTCCACCCTCCACAGACCTCATCAGGCTCAACCCCTAGCTGCGCCTGTCCACCATCAGGATGCATGGATGCCAGCCCTTGTCCCCATGGGGTCGAGTCCCCGAGGCCCTGGGCCTGTCCCCCACCCTCAGGCCAAGCATCTTATCTGTCTGATGCTCACACTCACACCTGGGCCACCACCAAGACCACACCCGCTGACTGCACTCCCCACCCCTGTCCGGCCTTGAAGGGTCCCCCACAACCCCACACAGCAGCCGGGACGATCCCAGAGCAAGCAGGCCCGTTGCTGCCCGCGCCCCGTGGCCCCCGCCCTGAGGGTCCAGCCCTTACGGCCACGCTGCAGCAGCTGCCCCTCTGCCCCAGGACTCCCGCGTGTGTTCACCTGTGTTCACGTCCAGGCCCGGTCCGAGGGCACCGGTCGGGTATGTGCTCGTGTAGCCGGACACGAGGCCTGTGAGGACCAGCACTGGCTGCCTCGCGGCTGAGTTTGGGGCCCGGGCCTGTCTGGCTCAGCCGGCTTCAGTCCTTGTTGGCTGAGCAGATTGAAGTAGGAGAGGGCGGGGGCAGAACTGGGTCACATCACCTCCCAGGGACCTGAGCCTTAGTGGGGACTGTGTTGGAGCCGCAGCCCTGAGACCAGGTGGGCGTGGGCACAAGCCCGGGAGCTGAGAGCCACATGGACAGCCGTGGTCACTAGGGACAGTCGTGCCCCAGCTAGTTGGCGTTGCTCAGCGGTTAAGTGTCAACCTATGAACCAGGAGGTCGCGGTTCAATATCTGGTCAGGGCACATGCCTGGGTCGTGGGCTCAGTCCCTAGAGGGGGGTGAGCCAGAGGCAGCGGATCAATGATTCTCATCATTGATGTTTCTCTCCCTCTCCCTCTCCCTTCCTCTCTGAAATCAATAAAAATGTATTTTTTAAAGAAGAGTAGTGAGTTGATGACATGACTGCATCACCTGAAGAACATGTTTACTTTTACTTGTTGCCAAGGTAGGGCTGGTTCCGGGCCTGTGACCCAGGCAGGAGCCGCGGGGGGCAGAGGAGGGAGCTTGCTCAAGTGTCACCTCCAGCCAGGCCGGGTCCCTGCCCCCTCGGAATAATCCTTCTGCCTGAAGCGATAATTACAGCTTTGGGGAGCAGCTGGGGGTGAGGCTGTGGGTTAGACAATCAGTCGCCCAGCCAGGTGGCTCTTTCTCAGGTGAGACCTGCTCAGCGCCCTCCCCTCTTCCCCGCGTGGGTGGGGTGGGGGCCGGCAGGTGGGGCAGCGGAGTGCCTGCTGGACAGCAGCTCCCAGCAGGTCCCGGGGGTGAGGCTGCCCCGGAGACTGAGCCCCTCCCTCAGGCCTGGGTGCCCCCAGCCTCGGCCTCAGCCCTTCCCACCCCCCACAGCCTCGGGGCCTTTACTGCTTTCCAAACGCAAACCTGCCCCTTCCCATTGACCCGGCTTTGGCCACCACAGTGGGAGCTCCAGGCCTCGCCCTCGCTCAGCTTTTCCTCCCCAGAACCACTTGTTCACACCAAACCCTAGAGCCCTGCTGCCCACCCCACACAGAAGCTCCGTCCCCCCTCAAAGGCCATTAGGTCCCCACAGAGCAGGGCCATGTCCAGGCTCCCCCAGAGAGGAGAGATGGTGGCCGTGGAGGTCACACTGGACAAGGGAGTGAAAGGCTCTGCGGGTGCAGGGGGATGGGGCCTCTGTAACACTGGGGGAAACTGAGGCTTGGGGAGGGGGCCGGAGCAGGACGGGCTGTCGAGGCGCCGGAATCCTCCGCTCACCTCCATCTACCACCCTCCCACAGCCATCTGTCTGCCCAGATCTGTCTCTCCGCCCCTGCTGTGTGTGGGGGGCGGGGGGAAGGGGGGTAGCCATCGTGCACTGTCGCTCACGGGAAAGCCGCAAGCCCCCCGGAAGGTCAGTGCTTCATGTGGCCCTTGGCACCACCCTGTGTCTGAAACCTGAACCTCAGACGATGCTGGGGGAGCAGAGAGAGGTGATAGGCAGACCCAGGGCCCCCCAACGCTGTGCGCGCTGACATTCACGCATGACTTCCATCGCACAGCGGGTCCTCAGCGGGTCCTCTGGGCCCGTGGCATGGGGAATCTCGGGGGGCCCCTCCCCCCGGGGAGTTCTGATGCAGTCACATGGGGACTGCTCTCAGGTCACATAAAAGCAGTGCTTCACCCCTTTCATTCCAAACTAAATGGCCACGTCCAGAGAAACCAAAACCTCACCCAGGCTGCAAACTCAGGCCCTTCCTCTCATCTACAGAAGCATATGTCCGCCCGCCTGTGTGCCTCAGGGGTTGAGTGTCAACCTAGGAACCAGGAGGCCACAGTTCAGTTCCCCATCAGGGCCCATGTCCGGGTTGTGGACTTGACTCCCGGTGGGAGGTGTGCAGGAGGCAGCCGATCCATGATTCTCTCATCATTGATGTTTCTCTTTCTCTGTCAATAAAAAAATTTTATTTTGTAAACATACCTCCACTCAGTATGCCTTCAGTTTGGCAGGATTTCCTGGAGCTTGGGCTCGTGGGTGCAGACCCTGGGGCGGCCCGGCCTCACCCACCTCTGCGCCTCCCTCTCTGATGCTCCGCTTCCTCTTCTGGATCCTGCCAGCGATAGCATGTCACACCCGACGGGTTTGTCGGTGCCACGGTTAACGTCCTGTG